CTCCTATGGCCACAGTTTCGTTTTTGAGAGGGTTAAGGCAAATCAAAACCCCTCGAGAGTTACAAGCATCAAGAAACTGAAGCCTCATCTCAGCGTGGCTGAGAAATACTCAAGCTAAAGGAAAAAAAAAATCACTATTCCACCGGGACCGCTTTGTATTTCAGTACGAAGGAATCCACTTACAATCACTGGCGGCGGCCACCAGGTCACCACCACCCACCTCGCCCCCGGCCAGAGGCTGCTCTTGCCTCTTACCGTGCATCTCCTCAAGTTACACCCGCCGAGAACTTCTTTGTGTTCATCAACATTTGACGGCCACGTTGGCGTGCGCGATGAACGCATCCCCCTTGCTGATTAGCAAGGCTTTCGGGATTTCTTCAGCACTGACCCTGGGTACCTGCTGGGGCACCCCCAACTCCAGCATCTCTGCCGGACAACACCCTCTGCAGCATGATCCAACACCACCGAAACCACCCAGTTCCCCCAGGTTTTGGGGGGGACAAACTAGGAAGAAACCGCCTGGGTTCCCCAGCTTTTGGGGGGGACAAGCTAGGAAGAAACTGCCCGGGTTCCCCAGGTTTTTTGGGGGAACAAGCTAGGAAGAAACTGCCCAGTTCCCCCAGCTTTTGGGGGGGAGGGGGGACACAAGCTGGGAAGAAACTGCCCAGTTCCCCCAGGTTTTGGGGGGGGGGACACAAGAAGGGAAGAGTAAAGCTCCTTCCCTTCACTTTTAGCCTGGAAACAGCCAGCACACTTGAGATATAACGGTACCTTCTCCTCGTGAGCACCATCTAACTTCGGGAGGCAGCAGCCTCCTTCACGGCTTCCTCCTCAAAAATGCCCTGGGAATAATGGAGAATCCCCCACCTTGCCACGCAGGGGAGAGCCCGGCTGGGCCCGGCCACTCACAAGAGGCAGGCAATAGCCAGAAGGAAACGCCCAACGTCTGCAAGTGGGTGGGAAGGACACAGCAATTAAATTAACATCTTGCATCAGGAATAAACCTGAATAAAAAAACCCATCAGGAATAAACCTGAAACCCGGAGGGAAAAGCTTACGCACATCCTTTACCCAGGGGATTTGCTGATGCAAAGCCTGGTCAGGGGCTGCCCCCGCGGGGAGCGGCCTGGGGCTGCATTCCGAGAGCTCATCCCAGGGGAGCGCGGAGCTTTTCCAGAGGAGCCAAATTACAACTCCTCGAGGGCTTGGCTGGGTGTAACCTGGCCACTCAAACACGCTCGCTTCCTCCTTCCCTAAACTTCCCCAGGGAACAGTTTTGCCCCCTCTCGCGCGTCGCCGAGCGTGCAGCCTCACCACCCGTGATTTACGTTAACGCGCGCGGCAGAGATGCGAACCTCTGCCTGGAAGGAGGGCTGGCAGCCGGCGATCCCCCACTTTCTGCGGGTACCGGAACAAGGGTGATGCTTGGCAGCCGCTTTCCCTGGAAAAATCAGATTTCTGCATAACCAAAGTTCTAACAAGCCGGACCGTGCCGCCAGAGCAGGGGCTGATGCTCTTCCCTGCGCTTGGCCGGATCACTCATGCTCTGTCTTTCCCAAGGGCCTTTTTTTCCGCCCCCCTCTGGTTTTGACACTGGAGTCTGATTCAGCAAACGCCAACAGTGAAGCTTCTCGCTTTTATGCGCATTTACAAGTGTCCTTAACTGGTGCTGGCCGGGGATTGTTTCTTTAAACACGAACGTTAACTCCGACTTCTGGGAATCTTCGCTGATTCACATCTTCTCTGCCGTTTGGTAGCAGCCTTTCACTTCTTGCTGCCTCTTACAGCTTCTGCTTTCCTCCTTTTCCAGTGTTTTCAAGCCCAAATCCTTCCTCAAAACCTTCTCAGTTGCAATTCCCTGCTGGCATTTCCCCAGGGCGCAGTGCTACAAGCTCTGCGGAGATGGGATTGATCAGCCCCAGGGGGGTCCAAACGGGAATTTCTGACCCACAAAGCTGGATTTGCCTTCATTTTTTTTTTTTTTTTTTTTTTACCAGTAACGTAATAAAGTTCCCTGCCTGTAAAACATTTTGAGGTTTGGCTGTTCCAAGAAGTGAAACTGCTTTTGAGCAACAGGTTTTACAGGGAGCCCTAGTGGCTGACTTCACACAACCCCCCCTTTTTTGCCTCTCTGGAGGGGTGGGATGCGGGGAGCAGAGGGGGCTCTGCCAGCCCTGCCTCCCCCAGCCCCACGCCCTCGGGAGATGCCGTAAGGAACGAATGAACGGCGAGTCAATCGTGCGTATTGGTGTGAAACACCAGCAGCATCACGAATCGCTTGGCAAACCCAGCCCTGGTGCCACGGTCACCAGGCTCCTGGGAGCTCAAGGTTCTCCCGTTGTGTCCCTAACTCTCCCAAGTTATTAAAGGGGGACTGGGCGAGAGTTTGCTTCCCTCCCTCCTCTAACATACTGATCTCCGTTACAGTCCCCTGCTACCACACCACGGTTACTGAACACTAACGAACTGCAAACGAGTACTTCCCATTTGCAGTGGAGCAACATCCATCACCGACCACGTAATTTCTTCAGCTAATGACTAAGGTCTTTGAGGTTCAAACTGAAAATGGAAAGGAGAAAGAGAGGCACTGGGTAAGATCAGCGTCCCTGCTCAGACCCGTCAGCTCAGACGAGAGGGGGCTGTGGGTTACGGAAGAGCAGGAGGCGTAGGGAGGGGTGTCCAGGAGCGTTTGCTGCCCCGAGGCTTGCACCTTACCTTTGCTATCTCACATGGAACAAACAGCCGCCCACCCTTCCTGCACGCCTTCGAGGTTGACCACCAGGAAACTCGCTTGCACCCCCTGTCCTTCCCCAAAATTGTGACACCGGCCACAGATTAATTGGCTTCCGCCTTGGGTTTCTGTGAATACGTATCGCCCCGTTCCCACAGCGAAACTGTTCGTACCTCTGAGCCCTACAGTTCGGCTCTGAACGAAGGGTTTTAATTAAGTTAACTTTAGGTAATACATTTTTAGCTGAGGGACCCTGTTAAAATAGCTTCTATGTTTTCCAGTAGCCAAAAAGGAAAGAAATGAGGAGTCAAGCTAAACATGTAAATACTTTTCAGCTTAGCCAAGAAGAATGCCAGCATGGCAAGCGCATTTTTTATACAAGAAAAGGCTTTTAATCACTAGATGTAGATTATAATTGAAGGCAGCACGGATCAAACGGTTGCAAGAGCAATACAGACATTCTTTCTCCTTTTCTGGTAGCCTCCCTTCCTACCAAACCAGACTTTGCAGGGTTGAAAGCCGCTCATTTCTTTTTTATGCAAGTCCTGTGAGGAGTGAAAGGCTCCTGGCTGCACCGGAGGGGACCAAAGCAGGGGACACACCAGAAGATGAAACAGAGCAATCCTGAGACCGGGGGGTGAGAGCAGGGGGCTCTGCAGCACACCGGGAAGAAAGCAGAAAGCTCTGGGGCACACTGGAGGGAAAATGGGGGTTCCTGATGGGACCAGCAGGTAAATGGGGGAGGCTCTGGTTTCACCGAAGGACTTGAGGACTCTGGGGAGCAGCAAGAGCTGAATGATGGGCTCTGCTGCACACCCAAGAGGGAGGGGAGTGGTCCCAAGGGGATGAAAGGGGATCCTGGGGAGACAAGACACCAAATAGCGGGATATGGGGGGCACTGGAGGGCAAACGGGGCAGCCTGGAGCAGACCAGAGGGCAAGTGGAGGCAACTGAAGGTGCCCACGGGGTGGGGGAATTTGTTCGGGGTGCCCAGGGTTAGGTGCATCTCCATTCCCCTCGCCACCCTTCTTTGGCACGAGGCAGAGCGCATCCTGCAGCCCTTCAGAAATGCTCACAGGCTTTTGAACCGCAGTTCCTGGGGTTCCCAAGAGACCTGGACATAGCACAGCAGAAGAAACAGAACCAGCGTCACTGCTGGCCCTAAAGCCACATAAGGATGGGACCTGTCATGCACCGACTTTTTAACACTCTTTCTTGCATCTCCTGCCATCGTGTGGCCAGGGAAAGAATGAGCAAGGAGAAGCCAACGGAGACGCATCAGTTTGCTGCTCCTCACGTTCATTCCGCCTTTGATGGGCAACACAGACCTATTTTCAAGCTCATGAATATACATTTTGTTCTGCTGACCACTTTATAAATCATTTATTTGAAGATTTGATTTCTTAGTTTTGGAAAAATAGCTAAACACATACATTGGATCACCAGCAGAGGGGGAAGGAGGGGGGAGCATTGGCCGAAGGAACTGAAAAAGCTTGATTACAAAACCTGATCCGGTATCACTACAGCAAACAGAACCTGTTCTGTAACACGGCACAACAAACACCCACACCATACAGGCGGCAACTGCCAAGAAGCCCTGTTTTTTTCAAATAGTTTTGATGCTCGCAAGCGGCTTCAGAAGAATTTAGCCCTCTTGGGAAGTGAGGAGAGGGAAAGCACAAGGCTTAGCACAAAGCTCTCTCCGCTCCACATCTTATTGCTGGGGTAGCTAAGTTAATCTGAATGATACCATGAGGAAATGCGTGTGTTCTACATTCACCGTGAACAACTTTCCCCCCAAACAGATCATGCAATCACCTTGAGGTGGCTTGGAGTTGGCTCTTCAGGAGGAGGTTGGTGTCTGAAGACCACAGCCCTTGGCAGCGGCAGCAGGAGGCAGAGCTACAGGCACCACGTTCCCGGTCAGAAAGGCACCTACATCACGACAGTCTGGCACCACTACACTTTGGTGGGCTCTCCCTTGTGCCAGCCACAGTCCTGCATGCTCCAGCTCAGGGTGGCAGCAGATTTTCAGCTTGCAGCTGATAAAGACGGAGGCCCCCAGAGCAGGGGAAGGTAAAGCTGATCTCTCTGAGCGAGGGAAGGCTTCCACTTTACCCAAGCGCTTTCCCTCGTATCCTGGGGACACAGGGAGGCAAAAAGAGCCCAGGAACCATTGATACCCTCAAATAATTTGAAAGAGAGCCCCACTGCTCGAGGGTTTCAAATACTGGTCAGGGTCCTTTGTCAACTAACACGGAGATTGTTCTTTGTCACCACCTCTTCCCCCCATGCTCCAGGCCACGGCTTCACCCAGAAGCACAGGGAGAAACCAACCCCGGCGCACGGGAGCTGGGCTGCGGGAGGGACCGCGTGCGTAACCACTGCGGTTTGCTACTTCAACACGGTTAGCCAAGATCTGTAAAACTTTGCATCCAAGTTGTGCTGGCGTAACTGGCACCGAGGGAGAACCTGTGAGCAAAATGCCTGATAAAGGAAGTAACAGAATATACGCTGCAGGCTGCTCAGGGAACTCACTGCCTCAGCCTAGAGGAAAATTCAAGTTCCTCCTGCGTCTGAGGCTGCCGTCTGCAGGTGCTGGGAGATGTAGCTGACAGAAGCCTTCAGGCTTTATTACCTGCCACCACTGCTCACGTTTCACTCCCTCACACATCCCCTGATCAACAGCCTCCTGCCAAGCCTTCACTCGGAAACCCCTTTCAGCTCCTGGTGACTGCAGCACTGGCTCACCACAGATGGGAAATACTGCGAAAGACAGCATCAGGCAGTGCAGGCCACACGAAGAGAAGCTTTCCAGACTCTCTCTTAACACCAGGATCTACACATGCAGTATTTAGATTAAACGAGGGCAGCAAGCTTAGCACACAGGCATCTGTACTGCACTTGCCCCCTGGACACAAGAGCATCCAGCTTACACAGGAAAGCCAGGAATGAAAGGGACCAGCCCTGCTTTAAGGTCAGATCAGAGCAGAGTGACCACCCCCAAAGATATGAAAGATAAACAAATCCTAAAATCCCCTCTTGGTTCCAAAATTCCAATGTTTCTAATAATGATAGGATTTGCTTTTGTTCCTTACGCTGTGGCCCTTCAATGTGCCAGGCTCCAACTCATACTCCCAGCTACCAGGAGCTGAAAGGCACCTCTGTGCTCATTACCTTCACACGCAGGAGAACCTGGTGAAAAACCAAACCCAAGCGGTCAGCCTCATCCAGCAGCCAGTGGAACGATGACCTAACACAAATTCCTTCTTCAGAAAGGATGAAAGAGCAGGCACAGTGGGAAACTCGTAGCTGCTGAGCCTTCGCCCTTGATGCAAGCACAGCGCAACAGGCAGAAAGAACACAAGCATTACATTGCTGGAAGTCAAGGGAACCGAGGAATACCTCCCTCATCTAACACAGCCATCTCTCCTTCCCAACATGCAGATCTTGCTCTACTTCCCCCTTGCCTTCTAAACTAAGCCTTTTCAGAAATACCCTAACTATACCAGGTTCTCCTTCCAGGCCACCTCTCAAGCAGCGTGGCTTGTATCAGTGCCTGTTACAGGGGCACACCATACGCTTAAGAAGAGAGAAGTCACTGAAATATGCCAAGAGCCCTCAGTTTGATTAGTGGCATTTTCATCAAATAGGGACCATAGATTTTTATTTTCTCTAGAAAGGGTAAAATCTAGGCTGGGGCAAGACAAGACCCCAAAGATTTCCATTCTGCTCTGCTAAAAACCAAAAACTAGAACTGCCAGCTGACAAAAAGGCTGAACAGGAGAAAAATGCAAAGATTTCAGAATCCTGAAGGCACTTGACTGGAGGAGCACTTCACATCAATAGGTGCTGGGAGCACTTCCCGTGGCATGATAAACCCTTGCTCAGCAGTGCTGGGACAGACTGACAGGCTGGGAAGACCAGGCTGGGTGCACAGACAGCAAGAGCTGCCCATGCTCAAAGGCAGAACGTGGTCCCATAAAGCTCCCATAACCTTTGGCTTCCACCTGCTCCCCCTCCTGAGCAGGCACCAAGAGCTGCTTGGAGAGGGCGGAGGTGTCTGAGGTATGTGCAACATCTTCGTCGTGGTGACGCACCAGCGCGGCGGTGCCGGAGGTCTGACCGCCTCTCCGCGGAGGGTGGTCTGGGCTAAGCTTGGAGTCCCAGCACGCGTGCGGTGTTCAGCACATCATCTCTTGTCAGGTAGCAGCCGCAGAGCTGGCGGTACCCCGTGAACGCTTCCCGTCCGTGCAGGACACGCCAGTTATCGATGAACAGTGCCTGTGGGCGAAGAGAAAAGGCTGTCAGAAGAAGGGCAAGCAGGGCCAGGACCTGTCCCAGAGCTGGAGACCCTTAGAGAGTGGAAGAGCAATAAGGGTAATGCCACGGTGGGGACGACCCTTCCTGTTCAACGCTGTCAGACAGCACGCGAGACTACAGCCAGATGTTCCATGTGATCTAGCACAGCTGTTTCACCTGAAGCCAGCACAGCTGCTCTGCTGCTAACTGCAAGGTAAAACATGACGGCTAGCAAAGCACAGAAATACATTCTGGGCTGTTTCTTTGCTTTTCTGTTGGAGAGGTTGCACAATAGCTCACCAGCAACAGAAACTGGCAGTCTTCAGCCTCTACAGTGTCACTGCCCCCCCAGGCATCTTTGGGAACGGAGAGGTGTAGGGGATCCAACGTGATCATTTTCCCTGCTGGACTGTTTCATTTTTGGGGCCCTGGGCTCAGGCTGAACCCCTCCAAGCAGGCACAGCTGAAGGAAGAAGCCACGCACCGTAATACCTTCAAATCTACAATGGTGGCTCGAGCTCTTCAAGCTCCTCCAAAGCTGCGCCCAGCATCAGCCTTTCAAACAGAGGGCAGAGCTTTTTCCTTTGGGTACCATGGTGTGCTGAGGCACCTCAGCCGTTTCTGGGACAGCGAAGGTGGCCTAGCTCTCCTGTGACTCACTGGTAGTGTAAGGGTTCCAATACAACCTCAGAACAGAAGCAAACTCGCTTCCCACACCTTTGTATTTCAATCAAAATAAAAATGTCTTCCGGAAGAAGATAGAGGCTGAACATTAAGTGTTCCCAGCCCTTCTGCTTCCAAGGATCCTCATTTCAGCTACTGCAAAGATCTTCCTCCTCTCCCCCAGCTGGGACTAACTTCCCTCTGAGGCAGAGCTTGAATTAAACATTTCTGCCTTAGCTGGAAGCTCGTATTCTTTTAGGGCAGTAGGAACACCCGCACACACCAGATGCCAGCACTGTAATACAGGGCGCCTCAAAACAGCTGTAAAGAGGAAAACTGCAGCACAGAGAGCTTGCCTGAAGCATTTACCTCAGTCACAACAAGCCCGCGCATCCAGAGGAGCACCCTGTCACCCGGTCTCCCTCCCCAACACACACGGGCCTCCCAACTCCACGTCCTACCTTGCCCGGCTTCAGTTTGACCCACAGTTCATTCTCTGGTCTCCTGAGCTCTGCGGTGAGTGTGCGGTGAGCAGCGTACCAGCGATGCACGACATCGTAAGGCACAGTGTTGATGACAGCACGATCATAGTTATTGTACCTAGAAGTAAAGAAGAGATAAGAGACTGCCCACACGGCTCCACGAGCACAGCCAGGTACTTCCAAAGGGAACCTCGGGAGCTTGTAGGATTAGTCAATATTTAAGGGAGGCTACAGAGATGACCAGGGAGGTTATGCTGCAGGCGCGGGACTTTCAGGAGAATACACAACACTGGGAGCAAGGAGCAGTTTGCTGTCAAGCGTAAAACTGTTCTTGCTGGTTTTCCACGGAAGGATGCACCACAGTAATGGGCAAGACTGAGGGTTGATCAGATAAAAGTGCAAGGCAGTGCTGAACAGCCTCCTGCACTAAGCCAAGCCAGAGTTTGAGAACACAGCCCAAATTTCCTTTGGAAGGAGACCAGCCTGCGCTCTCCCGGTCCCCTGTATGCCAGGTTGGTGTCTAGAGGCTTTCCCTTTCAGAGAAGGGCTGAACTGTACTGCCTCTCAAATGAAGCAAGATGAGGGCATGGAGCTGAAGGGAGGATGACAGGAGAAAAAAAAAAACAAACCAAAAAAAGCAAAGCTCAGCACCAACACTCGTCTGTATCAGTGGTTCTGACACCTCCTCTAAAGCAGCAACACATAGCCCAGGATGAAAGTCAGGGTGTTTCTGTGGTTCCACCCCTGCCCCTCAAACATATGTTGGTTTTTAGTTTACAGTATCTTCCGGAAAACCACTACTGTCTACCACAATCCCCTCTCCTCATAATCCTCCTCCCCATAAGCCTCCTGTTGGTGTTACCTGATCAGATAAAGCTCGTTGTTCCAGGGATAGACATTGAGGACCGGCCCCACTCCGATCATGTGGTTGTGACAGTCTCCCACGTTCTCAACGTACTCGTGCTTCAACGGCACCTTGGTGAGCAGCTCGAATTGCTCGGGGGCTTGCCGGAGAACCTGCTCAGCCGCGTAGAAACCATCCACCAGCAGCGTCCGCCCGCCCGTGCCCTCGTGCTTCAGGCAGTGAAACACTTGGATGCTGCATGGGTGAGAGAATCCAGAGCACAAGAGAAAAGACCTTGGCTGCCTGTCCTGTGGAGAGAAGGCACTCCCCGCGGACCCAGATGTAGATGGATGCGACACACTTATTTGCAATCCAATTAGTTTCGTTAAGACCTGCCAGGGAATGGAGACAGACCAGCAAGAAATTGTGCCTGCCGTTTCTTCAGGCCCAATCTCACACATTTCACTTTCCAAGAGGAGGGCTACAGCCCACACTGCCTCCCAAATCAAGGGACCTGAGCCTGGGAGACTTCGAGTGGTGTAGGACCAGGGCCATGCCATTCGAAGTCCATCCAGACAGCGGGACACAGAGGTTCAAAAGCGTAACACTAACTCCCCTAGAACATCTCGGAACAAGAGGATAGTTAAAGAAATGCTGGTTGTACTGCTGAGCTCTCCAGGAACTACGAGGGGAGTCCTGGGTGACTCTCGCTCAACAGCACGTACACCATGGTCTCCCACAGGCAGTCAGAAGCCCTTCACGGCCACACATTAAAGACCCTTTGGAAGGCCTGGAGGAGAGGAGTCCCCAGTGAGAACTCTACCTACGGGGTCATTCCCCTTGTGGGAAGCCATCCAGCTTGGCTTTTGTCCTTCTATTACTTCTCTGAAGCTTCTCTTTCCCTTCTTCCAAGTAAGGCAGGCATTGTACTGGTAGGAACAACTACCCAGGAGCTGCCTCAAGCCACCTACTCCCCATTTTCACAGGGTACGAACTTCACTTGTCAGAAAATTAGTAGTGACCTTCTGGGAAAGCCTTTATCTTCTGATCTCCCTTCGGTCCCACAGCAAGCGATGTGGCAGCATCTCCCGGCCCCAGCCTCGCCAGCACCTTTGTCACCTGGGCGCTCTAACCGCCCTCATACCCACAACAGTTTTAGGAGGAGTTTTACAAAGTCAGTTCGCAAGCACTGGAGCAAAGGATGCTCTGTGCCCCAAAGGAAACAACCTCCTCCTGCAGCTCGGGGCGCTGAGAAAGCCTCTTCTGAGGGCAGGCTCTTTGGTACCTGACAGGCGAGATAAAGTTGCAGCCTTTCCCATAGCTTGGGGAGCTTCTATCCTCTATACCCTTGGCAATAATTTAACTTGAGACTCATCGGATTTGGTTGATTTCAGCCAAAGCAGCAGGGGGAAAGCAGACATTCAAACGAACACATCTTTCTTGAAAAGCACCTCCTTTCCTTTAGCAGCAGGTCAAAGACTGTCTCAAGTGTTTTGCAAGCAAGTCTGAAACAGCCTGGGAAGAAGGGGTTCCTGGCAGAGATGGGGGCTCAGGGAAGCCAGAAATTCGTGTTCTTCCTGCACAGCTGTGGCTTTGCAGAACTGCAAGCATTAATGGTTAGCCCAACTAATTTAGCCCATGCTGTCATTGCTTGATATGCTTCAGTTGGCTGCGGATGAGAATACACCTACCTGAAGGGAACCCTTCCAAGTGGAAAGGAAAAAGTATAAAAATAGCTAATGAGCTGTTTAATCAAAGCTCTTTTGTAGGCTGAAGCTCTGATTCCCAATTACTTTTTTTTTAATTTGATTTTTGGGGAGGATTTTGTGAGCTCCTAAAACAAGTCAGCCAAGCAGATAGCACCGTGCAGGTCACGAAAGCACACGGGTTCTGCAGTCAGCTGTTTGCTGAGGACAGGGAAGCCAACTACATCTGGCTTGAAGCATGGCAGGACCCATGCTTTACGCATGTGCTCCACAGAGCACGCTAAAATCCGCTCACTTTGCTCCTGACACCGAGCTGCTCTAGAACAACCCCTGCCACCCAAAAGCTTCCTGCCTCGTTGGGCACAGACAGCAGCACTCGGAGTGCCACCAGGGTAACACCACCCCTCCTGGTCTGAAGGGCTGCTCCGAAATCCCCATGCAGCTTTGTCCTCCTCTGCTTTTAGAGCTCTGCACCACAGTCCTTTTCCATGAAGATGCTTAGCAAGTTAACAGCCTGGCTTGGCAAGAGCTAATCCTGCCCTAGGGCAGAAGGCGCGGACTTCTCCTTGTAGCCCTTGTTCCATAAGAGATCACAGTACTTCCACCCGCTCTCCTCCAGGCCGTTTCCCTGATGATTCCCCTCTTGACTGAGATGAAAGCAGACAAAAAAAATTAATCTAGAAATTAAGCCTAAATCTCTTGCACTTCACTGTGAACCACAACCAGGGCTGCTGCCTTTCTTTCCTCAGCTGTGTATAAAACCCACAGGCTGCATCAGAAAAGCAGTCTGCAAACTGGCATTTGGGAAACAACGCTGCAGCTACAAACTGCACTTTGTAGGTGTCAGCTTGGACGGGCTGGGGAAGCCTGGTTTCTGACTACCTACAGGGCTGCACCACTGCCAAAATGCAAACCCCTGCCTGTTTGAACTGAAGCAGGGCGACCGCACGGAGCGTACGTGAGCGCAGCACGTACGTCTGTTACCACTCGCAGCCTGGCAGGGCAGAGACAGTTACCGCAGGCGGTGCCAAGGCGAGCTGTTCCCCCTCCTTCCCCGCAGGCTACCACTAACCCAGCTCTGCCAGCCAAACAAACGTGGGTGAGGAGGGCTTGCCCCAGGTCAGCAGGATTAAGTCAAAGCAAACTTTTGCAGCAACTTTATACAACTGCTGATAAGGGGCGCTTGCTGCGGGAGGAGCTGGGCCTCGCCAGATGTGCCCAAAGGACAAATCAAACCAACCGCTCGTTTCTGTGAGGTTGAATGCTGCGTGTCACTTCAGAGACCGAGCAGGGTGATTTCGGAAGAGACTGTCAGATAAGCTTCAGGGTAGCACAGAAATGACTACAGCGCTGAGCCTCTGTGGCTGCAAAGGCTACTTGAACCACAGCAGTACCAAGCAGCAGCCAGCTATCTAACAGCCAAGTCCTTCACTGCCTGCATTCTGGAAGACCTAGAAGTTTCAAGCATAGGAAAAATTGATCTACAGACTACCCCGAGGGGTCAGACGGGGCCCAGAACTGCTGTGTGACTGGTAGAAGTACATCCCATCAGCAGGGCTGGAGACAATGAAGCCTGCGCCGCTAGAAATGGCATCATGGTGAACTGTTCCTGCCTTCTGCCTGTGAACCAGCAAGAGCTCTTACCCACAGGGCTCCTGGAAGTAGGTTGTGTCGGTGTGACGATCCAGAGCCAGCTTGGTGTAGGCAGTGTCTCCCCGCGAGAAGTCAGAGGTGAAGTACCACATTCTACCATAGATGGTCTCCCTGCAAAAGAGGTGGGCCGTTATCACGACGCGCTGCGGGGATCAGCGTGGTGGGAAAGCAGCTCCTCTCTTGCATTTGAGGCTACTCCCCTCCATCCTGTGAACAGTGTAAATTAAAGCAGAACAACTTCACAAAATTCATGTTGTCAAGAGCCGGTGCTTCTAATGGCTGCTCCAGTATTTGGTTTCTCTCTTTCCTCCCCAAAAGACTGATGGCAACGAGTCCTGCTTCCCCTCCACAGACACAGATCTTCTTTCCACACTAAGCATCAGCCCCAGTCAAACCAAGGAAGCTGCTGAGCGACACGAGGAGTTGCCAGAGCACAGCTTGGACCCACCACAGGGTCGCCCCAAATTCCCATTTTAGTTCTTAGGATCCTGTGTTTTCACCCACCTCCCTCCTATGACATGCACAGAAGGGAAGAGACGGAAGGCAAGGGCAGGCAGTCCTCAGGGCTACAGGGTGAGGGCACCTGGAGAAAAAAAAGTTGGCTGGATATTCCTTGGAGCCCCTCATTCCTATTCGGGGCAACTATTCATTAAAAGAAATCTCTCCTCTTCCAACAGGCCAAGGCAAATTAAACTGTTTCTGCAGCTCGGATAAAACTTGGAACTCAACCCCTGGCTTGCCATGCTGTTGATGTGTTTTGAACAAACACGGAAGAAACATTCCTCGATATTTTTCTTTAGCGAGAGCTACAAGTTGTTTTTGATATCCCTGGCTCCCAGGGCCAGGGCTGCCCTCCTAACCTTTCAAGCCATAACAGGAAACGCCTCTCCTTGCAAAGCTCCAGCCTTCCCAGACGGGCTGCTTCCTTCAGTCCCTCCTCTGTGCACAGTCCCCTATCATAAAGGTCATCATATGCTCCCGAGGCAGCCCCATAACCCAGTGACTCCAGGCTCTCCCCAAAAATTGGGTCAGATCCCACAGCACAAGCCTCCATCTCAGTTCCAGTGGGGTGGCCGGAGACTGTGGAAGACCCAGACCTTTTGTTTGCAAAGCAGGCCACGCTGCACAATACAAAGGGCTGAGAGGGCAGCACCTTTCCAAACAAAAAGGAAGTAACAGTCCACCCTTCACAGCTCCTCTGCAAAGCTGTCAGTGGCCTTCCCAGGGCAGCCCTAGTTACCTGATCAAGCTGATCCTTTCCGCTAAGATTTCTGTGTCCTCTTTGGTGGGAGCAACGTTCTCTACAAAAGCAATCCCATATAACAAGAAGTTTTGTAGGAATTCCTTCAGCCCCTCGTCTGTCTCCAGGAAACTCCTGCAGTCGACAGATGGGACCTGGGCTTGGCGGTAGATTTCTGCGTTCCAGAAAATCCGCGGGTGCATGACCTGCTGCTTCTGCCCCTCGTAGCTGTTCTTCACCAGCCACTCCAGCCCATACCGCGTCACGTGCCCGTCCGGCCCTTCGATGGGGGAGAGAAGTCACAGTCACCACAATCGCACTGAACAGCCTGAGATCGAGGTCAGCGCAACCATCAGTCTGGGACAGTCAGCACCCGGTTAATTTTGTCTGGTGACAGACTCTTTGCACCCTGATGTCACCCAAAATATGATCTGGTTAAGGCCACAAGTCCTAAAAAGCATCGTCATTGCTGCAACAACTCCGAATTCAGAGCGAAGTGTTTCAACTGCAGTGGTTTTGTTTTCTATTGACAGGACTCCAAGGAGAAGTAAAGCCCTGAAGACAGGCCCGTAAATAAAGGTAAGCTACAACAGAAGGAAGAAAGCAGCTGGGAAGCCAAGGAGAAAGGACAGCAAATGTGAATTCTGCTCAGGGGTACTGGCTGAAATCGGACAGGGTAAGGACAAGAAACCCAGCTATTTCTTGACCAATCTGTTCCCTACCTGCATTGCTGCTGTGTTCAAACAAACTGATAAAATACCCAGACACTGAAGATACACACAGCTCTACCCAGAGAGGGCTGGGGTGGGGAGGGGGGGCATGGGGGGGGAGGAAGAGGAAAAGCAGACACAAATTTAAGACTGGGGTGTGTTTACAGTAACAGCCTGCTGAGAAGAGTGGTGTTTAAACTCTGCTTACAGCTAAATCCCTTCCCAAAACATCTGCTGATTTAGAGATAAGGCTGCCCTCTCCCAGCAAACCTAAGGACAGGCTCCGTCAACGAGGCTCCCTCCGAGCAGCGCTGGTGCTCCGCGAGACACGCAGGGGAAC